AAAAAAAAAAAAAAAAAACTTTGCTGGCTGACTTATCCTTAAAACATGGCTAAAGGGAAATCTTCTGACCAAAACGATATGATGAAGGAAGGAGTCTTAGAGCATAACGAAGGAAGAAAGAGCAATAGAAAGAGGAGAATCATGCACACAGAAAAACTAGATCAATCACAAGTCACTGGTGGGAATGGAAATGGTACAGGTATACTGGAAAGCAGTTAGGCAGTATTTTACAAAACTCAGCTTACCATGACCATAAGACCCAGCCACTGTGCTCTTGGGCATTATCTCAGAAAAATGAAAACTGATGTTCACACCGAAACCTTGTACATGGCAGCTTTACTCCTAATAGCCCCAAACTGGAAACAACCCAGACATCGTTCAACCAGTGAGCAGATAAACCACGGTACACCCATACCATCGAACAGTAGTCAACAATAAAAAGAAGAACTAGTGGTGTACACGGCCACTTAGATGAAGCTGCAGGGAATCATGCTGAATGAGAAAAGGCCATCCTGAAAGATTATATACCATGTGAGTCTATTTACAGAAAGCTCTTGAAATGACAAAATTCTAAAAAGAAGAGCAGATCAGTGGCTGCCAAGGGGAGGGACAAGGCAGAGTAGAGGCAGGAGAGTAGGAAGCAAAAAGCAGGTATGGGTTTAAAGGGTGATGGAAGGTATGGAACCCTACTCACATCATGAAATTACATAATATAAAACTGAATCCCCCCCACACACACACACAAACATAAACCCATGCACAAATACAAATAAAACTGAGAACAGCTCAATAAAATCTGTGGAATCTATCAATGTCTATACACTGGTTGTGATCCTGTAGTTCGGCGAGATGACATCACTGGGGGAAACTGGGTGAAGTCTACACAGATCTCTCTTAAAATTACATGTGTGGCTAAAATTTTCTCAAAATAAAACTTCTTCTAATTTTTACCTAATTAGTTCTAATTAATTTTTAATTAGGAAAAGCTACCACTAGGTCACATTATTAATGAATCTAGATTAAACAGTGCTACTTGTAATATGAATCATTTCAACTCACCCAAACTGGAAGGGATGAAGAAATATGCTGAAGTTTCTTGACCACTGTCATTTTCCAACAAAGGTTGGTAATTTGTCATCTGAGTGCTATTTTCCAGGCCGGTTTCTGCTTTGACCATCACTTCTGTAAGGACAACATTTTTTAAGTGCTGTAAGAAAAGACTATCAACCTCATGTTCTATAACCAATGAAACTATTCTTCTGTATTGAAGCAAAAATAAAGGTATTTATGGACAAAGGAAAACCAAAAATATTTGTCACTAACTGATTTATGCTTTAAAAATGGCTAAAGGAAAATCCTCTTAAGAAAGCATATAAAAGATACTACATCAAAAACTAATGATGTATGGTGATTAACATAACATTAAAAAATTTAAAGGGGAAAAAAAGCATATAAAAGAACGAATTCCAGAGCATCAAGGAGAAAGAACAATTGAAAGAGCAGAAATATGGATGCAGAGAAACTGGATCACTCATACATTGCTGACAGGAATGGAAAAAGGTACAACTACGCTGAAAAGCAGTTTGTCAATTTCTTATAAAACTAAGGATGCAATTACCAAAGGACCCAGCAATTACACTCTTGGGCATTCATCCCAGAGAAATAAAAACTTGTGTGAAGGAGTGAAATGAATGACATGAAGCAAAACTAAAAATGATAAACAAGTATTCATAGCAGTTCTACCCCTAACAGCTGAAAACAGGGAAACCCGGAGGTTTTGAATAGGTGAACAGATAAATAAATCTCAGTGTATCCACACATTGGAATAGTACTCAGCAATAAAAAGGAAGAAAGGACTGATACATGCAGCAACATGAATGAGTCCCCACGGAAGTACACTGAGGGAAAGAAGCCAATCTCAAACACCATGCGATTCCATTTCTATAACAACATTAAATGGACAAATTATAGATCTGGAGGGCAGATTCCAGATTGCCAGTAGTTAGAGACAGGGCAGGGCATGGAACTGGGGAGAAAAGTCCTCTGGAGGGAGGTGGGTGTGGTTCCAAAAGAGCAATATGAGGGAAAATGGTGATGAGGGAACTGTTTTAGGGCTTGCTGTGGCAGAGGATACATGAACCTACGCACATGATAAAATTGTACAGAACTAAATACACACACACACACACAAATTAATACAAGTGAAACTGGGGACATCTCAATTGTATCTGTGGATGGTATCATATCAATATCTTGGTTGTGATAATTTTCTCTTTTTTTTGCAAGATGTTAACCATTGGGGAAAATTGGAGAATGGGAACACAGAATCTGTCTATTCTTTTTTACAACTGCATGTACAGCTAAATTTTTCTGAAAATTAAAACTTTGATCAGAAAAAGCTACCACTATCAGGGCGCCTGGGTGGCCTAGTCGGTTAAGCATCTGCCTTTGGCTCAGGTCATGACCCCAGGGTCTTGGGATCGAGTCTCCTATCGGGCTCCCTGCTCAGCAGGAAGTCTGCTTCTCCCTCTGCCTCTGCCCCTCACCCCTGCTCGTGCTGTCTCTCTCTCTCTCTGCTCTCTCAAATAAATAAATAAATAAAATCTTTTTCTTTTAATTAAAGAAAAGAAAAAGCTACCACTATCTTACACTAAGGATGTTGATGAATCTAGATTAAATACGCTACATGTCAAATGTATCATTTCAAACTCACCAAAACTGGGAGGAATGCAGCAATGTAACGAGGAAACGTCTTGATTACCGCCGTCTTCCAATAAGACTGGACAACTCATTGTCTCAAGGTTCTCTTCTGGGCTGGTTTGAGCCTTTACCATCATTCCTACAAATAAAATAGTTTCAAATACTAAAGACAAGAAATCTCAACCATGAAGTCTAGATCGGGCAAAACTGTCCTTCAATAAAGGAGCAGATTTGTGAGAACATTAACAAATGGACTTGGAGGGCATTATACTAAGTGAAATACCAGACAGTAAAAAGGACAAATACTGCATGGTATCACTTACATGTGGAATCTAACAAGAAAAAAAGTCAAATTCATAAAAACAGAAGGTAGAATAAACGAATGGCAGTTGCCAGGGGCCAGGGGGGTGAGGGAAGTAGGGTGAGGCTGGTAAAAAGGTACCAGTTTTCAGTTATAAGGTAAGTAAGGAGGGAGGATCTAATGTACAGCATGGTAACTTTAGCTGATAATACTGTATTGTATCACTGAAATTTGCTTAGGGGCGCCTGGGTGGCTCAGTTGGTTAAGCAGCTGCCTTCAGCTCAGGTCATGATCCCAGGGTCCTGGGAGAGAGTCCCGCATCGGGCTCCCTGCTCGGCAAGGAGGATGCTTCTCCCTCTCCCTCTGCCTCTCCTCTTTGCTCTTGCTCTCTCTCTCTCTCTCTCTCTCTCAAATAAATAAAATTTAAAAAAAAAAAAAGAAATTTGCTTAGAGACTAGAACTTAAGCATTCCCCCCACCAAAATATAAAAGGTAAATATGTGAGATGGTGGATATGTTAATGAACTCAATGGCAGGAATCATATCACTATGTACATGTACATCAAGTCATCATCCTGTACACTCTCTAAATATATTACAGCTTTATCTGTCAATTATACCTCAATGATGCTGAAAACAAGAAATGAATATCCAAACTCTTAAAAAAAAATGAATGAATGAAGGGGAAATCACGATCATGACATTCTCACACAAAGGAGAGCCAAAAGTCTTTGTCACTAGCCGACTTACATTTGAGAATGGTTAAATGAAAATCTATCAGAAAAGAATGATGAAAAAACAAAATGTGGAGCATTAAAAAGGAAGAAAGAACAAAAAAGCAGCAGAAATCTGGATGCAGAGAAACTGGACCACTCATACACTGCTGGTGGGAAAGTAAAATGGTACCGCCTCTCTGGAAAACCATGGGGCAGTTTCTTATAAAACTAAACATGCAATTACCATAGAACCAAGCATTTGCACTCTTGGGCATTTATCTAAGAGAAATCAAAATTTATGTTTACACAAAAACCTGTCCATAAATGGTCACAGCAATTTTACTTGCAATACTGAAAGCTGGAAAAAAGTCCAGACATTCTTCAACCAATACACAAACCGTGAACACCCACACCACGGAATAGTACAAAGCAATAAAAAAGAAGGAAATGTTAATACACGCAACAAGTCAGATGACTCTCCAGGGAATTATGCTCAGATGGGTGCAGTTACAAAAAGGCAAGACGAGGCATCCTCATGGTGATGGAAATGTTCTGTATCCTGACTGTGGCGGTGGACGTCAAACCTACTCATGTGATAAAATCAAACAGAACTAAACACATACACAAAATCAATACAATGAAACTGGGGACATCTCAATAAGATCTGTGGATGATATCAATGTCAGTACCCTGGTTGTGATGTTCTATCATAGTTTTGCAAGATGTTATTGTGGGCAGAAATGGATAAAGCATAAATGAGATCTCTCTGTATTACATCTTACAACTACATGGGTATCTAAAATTACCACAGTATCAAAAGTTTAATTTAAAAAAAAGCTATCACTAGCTGACACGAAGGATGGTGATACTTCTAGATTCAACAGTGCTACTTGAAATAAGTATCATTTCAAACTAACCGAAATTGAGTGGGATGGAGAGAGATGAAGAGGCAGGAGCTGAGCCACTGTCATTTCCCGATGAAGTTTGGTAACACACTATCTGAGAGCTGATTTCCAGGCTGGTTTCCGCTTTTTCTGGCATTTCTACAAGTATAACTTTTTCAAGTCCTGAAAGACAAGAACTCTCAACTGTGAATTCTATACTGAGTGGGATTATCTTTCAGGAAAGAAGGGGGGAATAAAGACATTCTCACACAAAGGAAAATTTTTTAAAAAATTGTTCCTAGCAGGTTTGTTCCTAGCAGATTTACTATTAAAAGATAGCTAAAGAAAAATCTTCAAACAGAAAGGATAGTATGAAAGAAGGAATCTTGCAGCATCAGTAGAGAAGAAATAATGACAGAAAGATCAGAAATATAGATGAGGAGAAACTGGATCACCCATACATTGTTACTAGGAATGTAGAATAGTCCAGCCTCTCCAGAAAACTGTTTGGCAGTTTTTATAAAACTAAACATGCTATTACCATAAGGCCCAGCAACTGCACTCTTGGCATTCATGACAGAGAAATGAAAACTTGTATTTACACAAAAATCAGTACATGAATGTTCACAGCAGCTCAGCTTTACTTCTAGTATCCACAAACTTGGAAAGAAAAAAAAAAAAAAGATGTCCTTCAATGTGTGAATGTTTAAAAAAAAAAACAACAACTGCTGTGTATCTATACCATGGGAAACTCTCCATCAATAGATGAGAAATGAAAACTTCTATTTACCCAAAAATGTGTACATGGATATTTATAGCTGCTTTACTCCTAATAGCCAAACACTGAAAAAAATCCAGATGTCCTTCAACAGGTGAACGATTAGGCAAAATGTAATATATCCATCGCACTATTTTCAGCACTAATAGTAATAAACTATTGATACATTCAACAAACCGGATGAGTCTCCACGCGATTAATCTGAGTGGGGGAAAAAAAAAGCTAATCCCAAAAGATTACATCATATATGACTCCACTTATATAACAATCTGAAGAGACAAAATTACAGAAATGGAGAAAAGATCAGCGATAGCCCAGTGTTAAAGATGGGTCTTGGGGGGACGCCTGGGTGGCTCAGTCGGTTAAGCGTCTGCCTTCGGCTCAGGTCATGGTCCCAGGGTCCTGGGATCGAGCCCCGCATTGGGCTCTCTGCTCCGCGGGGAGCCTGCTTCTCCCTCTGCCTCTGTATCTCATGAATAAATAAATAAAATCTTTAAAAAAAAAAAGATGGGTCTTGGGGGCAGGGAAGGTAGGTGTGGTTGTAAAAAGACACAGTAACGAGGGAGCCCTGAGTGATGGAAATGATCTCTACCTTAACTGTGGCAGGAGACGTGGGAACCCACTCACACGATAAAATTACATAGTTCTAAATACACACACACACACACACACACACATACACACACATACACACAGAGATACAAGTAAAAATGGAGGCATCTCGATAACACCTGCGAATTGTATCAATGTCAATGTCTGGGTTGTAACACTAACTATGGTTCTGCAAGGTGGTGTCACTGGGGAAAATACATAAAGCATAAACGGGATCTCTCTGTATTATTTCTTACAACTGCACTGAATCTTAAATTACGTCAAAATTAAAAGTTTCAAAAAGAGCTGTAACTGGCTTGTATTAAGGATGTTGATGGATCTAGATTAAACAGTGCTACATGTGATATGTATCATTTCAAACTCACCGAAATTGGGTGGGAGTGAGGCAGATGAAGAGTCAGTATCTGGGCCACTGAGACTTCCCAATAAAGCTGGGTAATAGATGGTCTCAGAGCTGTTTTCCTGGCTGGTTTCTGATTTTTCCGACTTTTTTATAAGTATGAATTTTTCAACCGCTGAAAGACAAGAACCCTCAACTGTGAATTCTACATGAGGCAAAACTATCCTTCAGGAAAAAGGTGAAAGAAAGACATTGTGCAACAAAGGAAATCTAAAAGAATCTGTCCCCAGCAAACTTACCTGTAGAGAAAGATCAAAGGAAAATCTTCAAACAGAAAGGACATGAGGAAGGAAGGAAATCTGGAACATCAGGAAGGAAGAAAGAACAACGGGAAGAACAGAAACGTGGACTCGGAGAGACACGATCACTAATACATTGCTGGTGAGAAGGAAAATTGGTACAGTCTCTCTGGAAAGCTGTTTGACAGTTGCTTATAAAACTAAACAAGCTATTACCACAAGATTCAACAACAGCACTCCTTTGACATTCACGACAGAAACAAAAACATATTTACACAAAAACCAGGACGTGGATGTTCACAGCAGCTTTACTCCTAATACCAAAAACTGGGGGGGAAGGGGGGAGGGGAACAACAACTAATGTGCTTCAGTGGGCAAATGGTTGCAAGCAACCATTGCACATTGCCAACCACAGGAAAGGGAGGAAGTACTGATACATGCAACAATCTGGACGAATCTTCAGGGAATTACGCTGACTGAAAAAACAGAACAATCTTCAAAGGTTATATACCATAAGATTCCCTTTACAGAACACTCTTGGAGTGACAAAATGATAGAGAGCAGTGTTTGCCAGGGGCTAGGGAAATGGACAATGAGGAAGGAAAGGGCAGCCTGAGAGAGGCAAGTGTGGTTCTAAAAGTGCAAGATGAGGGGCGCCTGGGTGGCTCAGTCTGTTAAGCCTCGGACTCTTGGTTCCAGCTCAGGTCATGATCTCAGGGTTGTGGGATCGAGTCCTACATTGGGCTTCTCTGCACTCAGTGAGGAGTCTGCTTGAGATTCTCTCTCCTCCTCTCCCTCTGCCCCTGCCCCCCACTCGTGCACTCTCTCTCTCACATAATAAATAAATAAATAAATAAATAAATAAATAAATAAATAAATAAAATCTTTTAAAAGGGGGGCAAGATGAGGCATTCCAATGGCAATGGAAATGTTCTGTATCCTGACTGTGGTGGTGGACATCAAACCTACTCATGTGATAAAATGAGATCAAAATAAATACAAATGCACACAAAACACTACAAGTAGAACTGGGCACATTTCAATAACATCTGTGTACTGTATCAATGTCAGTACTCTGGTTGTGATATTTTACTACAGCTTTGCAAGATGTTAACAGTGGGAGAAATGGGCAAAGTGTAAAATAGATGTCTTGATATTATTTCTTATAAATATACATGAATCTAAAATTGTTTCAAAATAAAAAGCTTAATTTTAAAAAAAAGAGCTACCACTAGCTTCCATTAAAGATGTTGATGCATCCAGATTAAACAGTGATACTTGTAATATGCATTATTTGAAACTCACCAAAATTGGGTGGGAGGCAGATAGCTGAACACTGGTCACCGTTATTTCCCGATGAAGTTGGGTAATTTGTCGGCTTGGGGTTGTTTTCCAAGCTGGTCTCTGCTATTACTGGCATTTGTAAGGAAAGAACATTTTTCAAGTGCTTAAGGAAAGATCTCTCAACCGTTAATTCGATATGTAGCAAAACTATCCTTCCTTACTGTATAGGAAATAAAGACATTGTCACATGAAGAAAAACTAAAAGAACTTGTCCCTTGCAGACTTACCCTTAAAGACAAAAGGAAAATATTCAAACAGAAAAGATATGATGAAAGAATCGATCTTTAAGCATCAAGAAGAAAGAACAATGGAAAGAAAAGATATAGGCATACAGAGAAATTATATCACTTCTATATTACAGGTGGAAGGTCAAATGGCACAGTTCCTCTGAAAAAAAGTTTTAGCAGTTTCTTATAAAACTACACACGAAATTATCATATGACCCAGAATTGCCCTCATGGGCATTCACCTCAAGAAAATATAAACTTAAGTGTACACAAAAGCGAGTACATAACTGTTCACAGAGTTAAACTTCTGATGGCCCCAAACTGGAAATATCCTCGACATCCTTCCATGGGTAAAGAAAGAGATAAACGGTTGTACATCCATACCATGGGAGAGCATTCAACAATAAAAAGGAAGAAACTCCTGATACATGCAACAATTGGTATGAATCTCCAGAAGATTATGTTTAGGGGGGAAAAAAAGCTATGCCCAAAAGGTTATATAGTATTTTATTCCATGTAAATAACAATATTCAAGTGACAAAATTCTAGAAAGGGAGATGAGTTCACTCTTTGCTGGGGCAGGAGGAAAGGGTGGCCAAGAGGTAGGTGCTTAAGGTCATAAAGGGCAATAGGCGGTGACAACGGAAGCAATCTGGATCACAACTGTGATGATAAATAAAACTCATGGAATAAAATTGCATAGAACTGAATACACACACACATACAAATGTGGATTGAATCAATGCCAGTACCTAGTTGTGTTATTTTACTATCGTTTTACAAGAGGTTATCATTGGAGAAATTGCATAAAACATAAATGGGATCCCTACATAATTTCTGACATCTACATGTGAATCTACAATTATCTAAAAATAAAAAGCTTCATTAAAAAAGGAGCTGGCCCTGACTTGGCACTAAGGATGTTGGTGAATCCATGTATCATTTCAAACTCACCAAAATTAGGAAGGATGTAAACAGATGAGATAGTATCTTGGCCACTGCCATCTCCCAATGAAGTTGGGCAATATATTGACTCAGTGCTGTTTCCAAGGCTGGCTTCTGCTTTTCTTGGCATTTCTATAAATAAAAAGTTTTCAGGGGCTGTAATAAAAGAACTCGTATGCACAAATTCTATACTGGATGAAACTATCCTTCCAGAAAGAAAGGGAAATAAAGACATCTCACACAAAGGAAAACTAAAAGATTTTTGTCCCCAGCAGACTTACTCCTACAGACAGGTTAAAGGAAAATCTTCTATGAGGAAGGATATGAGGAAAGAAGGAATCATGAAATGTCAGAAGAAAGAACGATGGAAAGATCAGAAATATAGATGCAGAGAAACTGGATCACTCATACATAGCTGGCCGAAACATAAAACGGTACGTGTAGTTTCTCCTAAAACTAAGCATGCAATTAACATATAACCAGGAATTGCACTCCTAGGTATTCATCTCCAAGAAATGAAAACTTATATTTACGCAAAAACCTGTGCATGAATATTCATAGCAGCCTTACTCCCAATACTCAAACACTGGGGGGGGGCGGGGTCACAACCAAAAATCCGCCTCGACAGATGAACTGTTAAACTACAACATCCCTATACCATGGAACAGGACCGAGCAATAAAAAGGAAGGAACTAGTGATACATGTAACAACTTGCTATAATCTTCAGAGACTTACCTGGAATAATAATAATTTAAAAAAGTGCCAATTTCAAAAGGTGACATACTATATGCATACAACTATGTAACATTGTTGAAGCGACAAAGTTTTAGAGATAGACAACAGGTCAGTGGTTGCCAAGAGTCAGGGAAAGGAGAATAGGGAAGGGGCGACCACCAGAGGATGATGGGTGTGGTATAGAGGGGCAACTCAAGTGATCCTCCTGGTGATGGAAACGTTCTGTACCTTGACTGTGGCTGTGGACGTGCAAACCTCACTTGATGAAACTGCACGGAACGAAACGCACAAATACACAGTGAAAACGAGTCAACCCAGGGACAGCTGAATAAGATCTGTGGGTTATAGCAACATCAATATCCTGCTCGGGACATTTCACTGGAGTTTTACAAGATGTTACCTTCTAGGGAAATTGGGTATGGGGCATCACTCAATTGTTTCTTAAAACTACATGTGAATCTACACTTCTCTCCTAAAACTTTTAGTGAAAAAAATAGCTATAGCCAACTATAGTTCAATTTAAAAACCAGCTATTGCTAGTTTGCATTAAGAATGCTTTTTAATCCAGATAAAAGGATGCTATTTGTAAACTCACCGAAACTGGGGGGGGTGCAGAAAGCCGATGAGGCCGGGCCCGGGCCCGCGCGGCCTTGTCCCCGTACAGTTGGGCATCTGGCCATCTTGGGGGCGTGTGCCACACGGGGTTCTTCTGGGGGCAGAAGTGCTGCAGGCAGAGCCAGGGGAAGCTGGACAGAGGAGAGATCCCTGGTGGCCCCTTCACCTCCTTCACTGAAAATGTAGGACAACACAGCAAAACCAGGAACTGGGTTGCCTGGTATGACACTAGGCTGTAATGAATATGTGGAGACAATTTTGGGAGGTGGTGGACTCTCTCTGACGACCAGCTCCTGCAGCTCCGGGAGAGTGGCTGGCTGGAGAGCTATCCTTACAGGGTTAGGCCGGGCAAGGTTCTCCTGCCTTCTCACTGGTCTGGATGGGCCGCCGTCTTCCTGTCCAGGGTAAGAGAACACAATGGGTTATGCTCTCTTCTTTGGTTCCTGAACTTGAACTTCTCCATGAGGCAGACAATTAAAACTTTTTTTGTGTAAATCCAGATGACCTCTAAAATAACACAAACCCATTATAAATCATCTTAAAAAGTCGATACAAACATGAATGCCTCGGGGCACCTGGGTGGCTCAGTCGTTAAGCGCCTGCCTTCGGCTCAGGTCATGATCCCAGGGTCCTGGGATCGAGTCCCACATCGGGCTCCCTGCTCGGCGGGAAGCCTGCTTCTCCCTCTCCCACTCCCCCTGCTTGTGTTCCCTCTCTCGCTGTGTCTCTCTCTCTCTGTCAAATAAATAAATAAATAAATAATCTTTTAAAAAAACATGAATGCCTCCTTTCTTTGCAACATCATTTTCCACAGTTCAGGATAAAGGCTGAATTTTTATTATGTGATTTTTATTTCTCTTCAACCCTACATTTTGATTGCATTTTATACATTATGGTTACAAACATAAAAATATTCAGTATCATGATTTCTCAGACCTAAACTTCAGCATTCTTCCAAGAGAGGTTGACTGTCCCACCTGTTGCTAAAGTAAGTGTACGGCGGCCTTGCTAATCTCGGAGTCATTAGTTCTCTCTCACTTCTCAGTGACTGGTATCTTTAGGAACTAGAGGCTTATCAAAGTAGCAAAAATGTTTTCATAATACTTACACAGTTTGGCAGCGGTGGTTTCTCCCAAGAAGGCTGTATTTTTGAAATGATTCCACAAAGGTTGTTTACCTGCTTATTTGTGTTTTCAATAAGTTCTTGCAAACCCTATTATAATAAAACAAGTATTTTAGCAGCTCCTATTTCAAAAGAAAAGTAACATATAAGAAAAAACCATTAAGCCAATTTTAATTGTTACATAAAACGCTCTCAAGCCATCAGAAATGTCTGGTTAATGCCACTTGATGCCTGGTTTTGGTGACACAGAGCCCAGCTGGCTGAGATAAGGAGCCCCAACCACCTATTCAACTACTCCAGGCCATACAGGCATTTTAAGAAGCTTTAGGGGCGCCTGAGTGGCTCAGTTGGTTAAGTGACTGCCTTCAGCTCAGGTCATGATCCCAGGGTCCTGGGATCGAGCCCCGCATCGGGCTCCCTGCTCAGCAGGAAGCGTGCTTCTCCCTCTCCCCCTCCCCCTGCTTGTATTCCCTCTCTCACTGTGTGTGTCTCTCTCTCTGTCAATTAGATAAATAAACAAAATCTTTAAAAAAAATAAGAAGCTTTAATACAGGAAAGTAAATGTACCACCATTCTTATAAGCCACCACATTTATGATAGAGTCATTTTATGTCAAGGAAGGGGCTATTGTAGGTAAGAAAGCTTCAAATCTGCTAAAAGGCCAAAGAGCCTCTTTCCATAGAACCATGGTGTGAATTCACAGGCAGTGAGCATTCTATGCTGGAAAGAACAGCGAGCCAAATATAACAGGTGTGACTTCTGGCTTCAAAATATTTCAAAATCAGGCAATCAACAATTAACCTTACGAAAACCTTTGAGTACATGTCCCCTATAGCCAACCAGGTATGTGACTAAAAAACCTGAGAATTCTTCAAATACACAGAAATTTCATTCAGGCCAAAAATACACTTAAACAGGAGGCCAGAACCATTTCCTTATTCATTCACTCAAATAAACATTTATCGAGGGCCTACTTATTACTTCTCAGAACTGCTTTGCTAGGTGCTGGGAATATGCACAGAAGGAAAACAAGAAAACAACCAGCTCCTGCCCTAAGGAACTGCCATGTTAGCTGGAGAGAACGGATTTCAGTAAAGTGATGGGCAGCCCAGAGCAGCAGTTTTCAAAGCGCGGTCTCAGACCAGTAGCATTAACGTCTCCCGCTGGCTTGTTGGAAATGCACCATCTCCCACCCCTCACTTGCTGAACTGGGAACTCTGCGAGCGGGGGCAGCGATCTGCTTTCACAAGCCCTCCAGGTGGTTCTGCTGCCTGATCAAGTGAGACCCACTGGCTTATAGAACTGAGGTCAACAGGGCAGGCTCTAGGGGAACACACTTGGGTGCAAAGACTAGCGTTCTGTCGCTTATCAGCTGTGTGACCTTGGGTGAGTCACTTAACTTCTCTGTGCCTCAATTTCTTCATGTATAGAATCGAGATGAGACTCTCAGAGTTCTCTTGAGGACTAAGTGAGACGCCATGGTATAATGTTAATACTACCATCCTAACAACAGTGCTACATGACGACTGGTCCAATAGTGCTCAATCATCCATTACTATACCTATTATTATTATGACTCTGATGGCCACAACACAGGTGAGAATGGGAGGCCAAGTGTGCACAGAAGGGCAAGACCTAACCCAGGCGGGCAGTCGTGGCAGGCTTTTCAGAGAAGATGTCTACATTGAGGATTAAAAGACAAGACGGTGTTCACTAGGTAAAGATGCACAGAAGGGCAGAGAGGGCAGAAGGAAGAGTAGATTCAAAAATACCGAAACAGAGAGAACACAGGAAGTCAGATGCTTAGACAGTGAACATAAATGATGTTCAAAGAACTGGGTTTTTAAGGGAAGGAGAGAGAAGGCATGACAGAAAGAGGGATGGGAGGCCCAAAGCAGAGGTGTGGTTAAGCTGTGGGAGGGGATGGAGACGGAAGCTGAGGGTGCAGGAAGTGGCCACTGATGAAGGGAGGTGTCCCGGCACAGGGAAAGAGGCTCAGAGGCAGAAAGCAGTGCCGGCCTTAGCCTTATAGAGGGAGATGCCCGAAGGACAGATCCCAGGCTAGTGGCTGGCTGTGGGGAGAAGAATCGAGACTTGGAAGGATTTCGGCCTCACTCCCCCGCTCCCCCTCGGCCTCCCTGAAATAAGAGGCAAAGGCCGGGCCATCCAGAGCTTGTAGGGGATGAAGAGGGAACTGATCAGAGCGCTGTCGAAGGACCACAGGACAGTGGACGGGTCCCAGCAGGTGCCCCCTCTGCTTCCCAGCCTGTGCAGGGCTGGGGTCTTCCTAAAGAGGACTCTGGGCAAGGACAGAAAAGGAAAAAATGGAAGTGTGCAGCAACTGGTCTAGACTGGTAAGGGAAGGGGTCGAAGAAAGGAGAGAGTTAGCACACTGGGAGAAATGGGGAGGATCCCCGATGGTCCGTTTCAGGGCTGTGACTTGGGCCCCTGGGCCTTTCTCCTCCTCCACGTTCTAGCCCACCACATCTTGCACCGTCGCTCAGAAAGGAGGCCCTGGCAGAGCAGTGGCAGCCCGGGGTGTCGTGGGTGCTTATGTGAGGCAGGCCATCAGAACCCCCCTTCCAACGCCCCCCCCCGGCCATACATCCTTCCCCAAAGACCTGATATGTTCCCTTGAGGCAGTCCACTTCTGTTCTCAATAACAGTGATAAAGACTCACCTAAACATTCTTTACTTAGGCACGGTAGCTCATTTTAATCCAACAAACTTCGTATGTTAACTACTTTTTAAAAAGCAAACTTCCATTACCTCTAGAGGATGCAGCTCACAAAATCCTTGATAATTACACCCATCAACCTCCACCAGCAAGCTAACTTTTACAAAATTCCCTCCAAACTACAAACTACGCAAGATATGCTCTTTAAAAAAACAATGGTATGCTGCCATTTTCTTTCAATTGAGATATTTTGATAGGCATTTAGGCACATACTAAATCTCATTGAAATCAGCCAATTTCCATGAGAGAGTATATTGGAGAAATTAAATATTGAACAATCTAGATGAAAGAGATTTAACTACATTTGACCAGTTATGGGCTGTTGGGTTTCGTTTAAGCTACAAAAGCCATATTTTTATTTCAAATTTTTCACCTAGGGATACTGTTCTAACTAGAAAATTTTCTGAAATGCATCACAATGGACTGATAATCATACAGAATTTGACATGACAAAATTTCTATTAATAGCACAGTGATATTAAATGAGGTAAAAAAAAACATTTCACTCAAAATTTTGAAGAACTACATTTTTCCTGCTGTCGCTATCTCTCTCTCTGTCAAATAAATAAATAAAATCTTTGAAAAAAGCAAAGATTAAAAGACCGAAATCTGATAACCTCGCAATGGTGTTGGAGTTCCATAAGTTGGTTTTGATGATTTTCTTCACAGAAACCTTCAGATTCATTTCTCTCCTATTCATATTATAAAAATAAGTAGTCAATGCTTAATATCACTAGGACCCAAACTAAGCAGTACTCTATTTTTATTTATTTATTTATTTGACAGAGAGAGAGAGAGAGAGGCACCAAGAGCAGGAACACAAGCAGGGGCAGTGGGAGAGGGAGAAGCAGGCTTCCCGCCGAGCAGGGAGCCCGATGCGAGGCTCGATCCCAGGACCCCGGGATCACGACCTGAGCTGAAGGCGGACGCTTAACGACTGAGCCACCCAGGCGCCCCAAAGCAGTACTTTATATATTTTTCTGTTTTAATTATTTTCTTTTTCATCTACGTTCCAAAAGCATTTCAAGTCTTGTAATATAAAACAGAGAGATAAAGTAAAACCAAAACCCATATTCACACGAGAATGAAACAGGTAAGAGCTGATTAAAAAGGGGATGAGGAAAGAAGTTATCATATAAGAACCTAGGTTTAAGAAAAGCTACTGAATATCAGTATGAACCCATAGTTTATAATATATACAAAGACAGATATAGAAATAAAGATGTATGTGTATGCATGGAATAGTATACATATATTTCCTCGCTCTGTTCACTGGGAGGACCTAAGATCAATGACAAAAAACTAGCAATGAACATATCTAGTGTCCAGATTTTGGTTTCTAAATACCAGTCTCCAATAAAGGAACCAGGGCTCCTTGGAGAAAGGTGAATTCCAGGGCTGGGTCAGGAAAAGTATAAATGAGCCTAGTACATCTTGTGATGTCAGGAAATCAGGAAGTGCTCAAAAAAAAGTGGGGGATGGGGCGTCTGGGCGGCTCCGTCGTTAATCCTCTGCGTTGGGCTCAGGTTATGATCCCAGCGTCGGGCTCCCTGCTCCGCGGGAAGCCTGCTTCTCCCTCTCCCACTCCCCCTGCTTGTGGTTCCTTCTCTAGCTTTGTCTCTCTCTGTCAAATAAATAAATAAATAAATAAAATCTTTAAAAAAAAAAAAAGTGGGGGCATGTAAAAAGGCCACAAGATCCAACTGGAAGGACCTCCCTATAACCAAGGTTGGAAAATTTGATCAATAAAATAATAACATTGGATTATAAAAAACTCATACAATATACAGTGAATGCCCATGAGTCCATATAGATATAAAATATATAACTGAATAAATAAATGGAATAGAAAAGATAGCTCTTCCTTACAAATGAATTCCTTTTAATATATACATGGGAATGAGGGAAATGGTCACCATTTGGCCAACACCATAGTTAGTGAATGTTGCAGGTAAAATCCACGAGCTAACTCAACTCAGTGGGCAAAAAATTGAGGAGAAACAGGATATCAGCAGAGTCCCAAAGTACCCCCCACCTAAGATTTATTAGCCACAAAGGAAAAAACAGTAACTTTACAGCAGAAAAATCCAGAAGATACCACGTTAACCAAGAGATCGATGTTAACATCACCAGTCAAAAGATACATGTACATCCTGTTCCCCTGATAACGATTCAATAAGGAGACAACATTTGTGTGGTGTTCTTGCAAAAATGCATAACCTCAATCTATTCAAGAGAAAATATCAGACATACCAAAATTGAGAGGCATTTTACAAAATAACTGATTGGTACACTCATCACAAATGTCAAGGTCATGAAAGACAAGGAAAGAATGAGGAACCGTCACAGACGGGAAGAAACTGAGGAGAGACAACTAAACTCAATGTGGGATACTGGAATGGATCCTGGAACGGAAAAAGGACAAGGGGTGAAGAATGTTGAAATTCTAACAAGTACTGCAGTTTAGCTAATAGTACTGTAACAATGTTAATATCATGGCTATGAAAACAGTACTATGCTTATATAATTACCCTAATTTTAAGTTATACAGTAAGTTAACATTAAGGGAAGTTGTATGAAGTGTATACATGAGAACTCTCTGTAATATATTTGCACCTGTTTTGTAAATCTAAAATTATTTCAAAAATGAGAAAAGCTACTCAAACAGGGTAGGAAACTGCTGTGAATCTCCTATTAGATAAGGAAAAGAAGGAAATCAAATGGTTAAGTGTTGTCTGGTTCATTGCTATGGAAGCATACAAAGTCACGAGAGAGAAATATTTCCTTCAGTTCTCAAGTTGAGTTACTCCACAGTACGTGAAGGCTGAAAAAGAACTTAAATAATTTTCTTTATGATAGTAAGTGTGAATATTTGGGAATTAGCAATTAATATTATGTAAATATTCAGTCTGATATGCATTCATTAATGACACTTCCAACTTCTTCCCAATCGGGTATTCGTGTTCTTGTCCAGGAACAATTTATTAATAAACCAAAAGAAAATATGAACAAAAAGAACTGAAGAAACATTCAGGACTTCAATTCTGCTTTCAACAAGCGCCAAAGGCTCACCACAAATACAACAACACAAAAAGATATACAGCTGACCCTTGAACAACACGGGTGTAAATTGTGCAAGTCCACTTATATGCGGAGTTTTTTCAAAGAATACAGTGCAATACTATACATGTATTTTCTCTTCCTTATGATTTTCTTACTAGCATTCTTTTCTCTAGCCTGCTTTTTTGTTCAAATACAGTATGTGATACATATAACATGCAAAATATGTGTTAATTGACTGTTGGTAAGGTTTCTGGCTAACAGTAGGCTATTAGTAGTTAAGTTTTGGGGGAGTCAAAAGTTACACAGGGATTTTCGACTGTGCAGGGGGTCAGCACCCCTAATGCCCGCACTGTTCAAGGGCCAACTGTACTCACTGAACTGTTTTCTCATTCACCCAACTATACTTAAGACGCCATTTTCTACCAAGCTTAACCCCTTCTGCACTTCAGGGTAAAAAGACTAGTCTTCTAGTAATCTGGCACCAGAACTGCTTTAAAAAGCAAATATTTCTAACCAGAAACAAAGAACCAAAGGTTTTATGGCTTTTGGTTTTCAAATAATCCAACAGTGACACTCTGTGGACAAAAGAAGAAGCACTAAACACCTATTTTTCTCAATAAATTAATCTCCAGGACACCTTAAATTGTTTTTTGGAATAAAACAGGGTCTAAGTATGTAGACGGACAGCAAATAACCATTATATTTAATTATAAGGACTCTATTCTAAGGATGAATTATGGACTATAATAATAATTTTGACATAAACATACCAAGTAGTTATCAATGTTTTTGCTTTAAAATTTTATGAATCAGCCCTGCATTACCAACTTATCAGACAGCAAAAATTATACGGAATTGTAATATAGACTAGTCATTATAAAAACAATATTGTCATCTTACCCTTGTGTAGTGCTTTATACTTTTCAAAGTGCTTTCACATAATTATGTCAGAAACCATTACTCCTGGTAGGCAGTTAACATTATGCCCATAGATGAACATATTGGGGCTGTCAGAAGTTAAAATTGCCTATACTACTCAGGTACTTACTAGTGTCCTCCTCCTTATATAAGTAAATCAATGCACTTTCTGGTAAGCTAGATTATATATAGTCTAATAATCTATTTTGTTCTCCTTCAGAGATCAAGAAGCACAGCAAAATATGATGGAAATGTCAAACAGTACAACTACATCAGGAAACCGGCAGTTTCTTCTAAACTTTATCTGTTCTGTGACCCAGTGTTTGCACTCCTGAGTCTTCACTCAAATTAAATGTAAACATACATTCATAAAAACACTTCCATAATAATGTTCAGAGCTACTTTACTCATAATACCCCAAACTGGAAATAACCCAAGTGTCCGTCAAAAGGAGAATAGATAAATTATGGACATTCATACAACAGAATATTACTCAGCAATGAATGGGAATGAAATGTCACTATAACCAGATGAATCTCCAAAACATTATTCTAAGAAAAAGAGACCGTGACACAAGAGTACATACTGTATGATTCTGTTTTTATGAAATTCTAGAACAGGCAAAACTAATCTATGATGAGAAAAATATCAGAATGTCGTTTCTCCAAAGTTTGGGGGGGCACTTACTGGGAAGAGGCATGAGGGAACTTTCTGGGATGGTGGAAATGTTCTCTATCTTGATTGGGGGGGTATACATATTTGTCAAGACCACTGAACTGTTCACTATATGAAATTAAACTCAATTTTTAAAAAAAGAGATAAGGCAGAATGAAAAAAACAAAGAAAAATTTTCAATTTAATATACAAACCGTATTATCCCTCCTTGGAAAAGATGTACGTCCTCTTTTGCGCAGTGGGAGAAGCTCCATTTCCACTGAGTTGGAGCTGTATCTTTTTAAATTTGCCAGATGGTTCATTTGTGGAACTGCCTGGTCACCTAGGGGTGGTAAACCACCTACTCCTGAAAAGCAACACATAAAAAAGGTACTTCACAGACTTACTACCATAATCAACTTAAATAGGGTTATGTTTTCCGAATGCCAACTCAAACTGAATTGGAGTCCTGAATTTTAGAGAGTGACAAAACAATAATTCTTCCATTAGTGATTTAGAATAAACCCTTAATAATTGAAGGGCTAGGCTGCCACACCTAGGAATAAGAATGAAGATCACACGCAAATTCCAAATTGTGAAGTGAATGCTTCACAACTGAAAGACTACAGAGTAAATGCTGGAAACAAATGAACAAGGGAACACAACTCCTAAATGCTTTTTGAAAAGAGCCCAAAAACCTTTTTACTTAGGAAGGCAGCAGGCCTCCAAATGTGAGTCAGGAGTCTATTTTGGCTTGCCCCTCCCCCCTGCACAGTGTGGCCTGGGCAGACCACAAAGACACCACCTCCTCATCTGCCAGGTGAAAACCGGTCATTATCTCCAACGTCACTTGAACTCTAAAATTATGATTTTTTTCCATAGTTACACGTTATCTTAAACCTAAATGAACATATGTGAAATATAAGCCCACATATATTCTAGAATTCTGTAGGCTCAGTTATGGTTCTGAGTCAGTTAACTCTGCAACGAGGCAAAGACCCGGAAAGCAGTGCTATCACAGTCTATCTTGTAGTAGGAGAGACCTGGCGGCTGGCATCACTGTGTGGGGGTGGGGCGCCTTAATGACAGACTTAATTCCCATTAGCCATCCTGGGCCAGGGAAGGAATCAGAGGCAGAGTGAAGGGAGAATTAACTCCCAAGTTAGATAAAGGCAGGCCAATGTGGTGGGGAAAATTCAATGATAAAATACCTCCAATTTGAGGTGTAACTTCAATTTTTATTTTTTAAAGTGGTTGCTTTATTCTGATTAAGACTAATAATGAATAATTAAATGGGGGTGTTTTCATACAAAGAAAGCCTACACAGCAATGAGTATGAACCAACTATTGCTACACACGAGGATGAACCTCACAACCAGAGCACTGAGCAAAAGCCAGACACCAAAGAATATAGTTGTGATGTGATTTATATTAAGAAATATCTATTTTGGGCGCCTGGGTGGCTCGGTCGGTTAAGCGTCTGCCTTCAGCTCAGGTCATGATCCCGGGGCCCTGGGACGGAGCTCCTCGGGCGGGCGGGCTCCCTGCTCAGCGGGGAGCCTGCTTCTCCCTCTCCCTCTGCCTCTGCCGCTCCCCGCTGCTTGTGCTCTCTCTGTCCCTCTTTCACTCTCTCTCAAATAAATAAATAAAATCTTAAAAAAAAGAAATATATATTTGGTCTTCATCTGTTTCTGGCAGAGCCCCTAAAACCCTTGGAATTTCTTAAGTGCGGAGAGTGATAAAGGTGTCTTTTGTTATATTAATGAAGTGGAAAGCCTCTAGATCACCTGAGGATGGGGGCGGGTCACCAGGGGAAGGAAGCTGTGATTAGAGGGTTGGACCTTTCAGTCCCACCCATTGACCTTCAGGGAGGGGAGAGGGCTGGAGGTCGAATCAGTTGGCCAATGACTTAATGAGTCATGCCTCTGTAAGGAAGCCTCCATAAACACCCCAAGCACAGGGTTCGGAGAGCTTCCGGGTTGGGGAGTGCGTGGAGATCTGAGAAGAATGGCCTGCTCTGAGAGGACCTGGAAGCCCCACGCCCTTTCCCCATTCCTTGTCCCTTGCATCGCTTCCATCCGGCTGTTCCACGGTTATATCCTTTTCTAATAAACCGGCAATGTGGTAAGTAAAATGTTTCTCTGAGTTCTGTGGGCCGCTCTAGCAAATGAACCAAACCTGAGGAGGGGGCCACGGGAACCTGTTAAAGCCGTTCGGTCAGAAGCCTGGGTAATCGCCCAGGCTTGCAACTGGTGTCTGAAGGGGAAGGGGGGTGCAGTCTTGTGGGACTGAGCCCCCCACCTGTGGAACTTGATGCTGGCTCTGGGTGGATAGTGTCAGAATTGAGTTGAATTCTCACCCTGCTTGTGTCCAGGAATTGCCTGGTGTTATGTGAGAAGCCCTCACCACCAGTACCAACACACAGTTTGGAACTGGGTCCAGGAACCTAAATGAATTGTATATGATTCAACTGTTCTGAAGCTCAAAAATAGGCAAAAGTAATCAATGGTGGGAGATGTTCAGGATAGTGCTACTTTGCAAGAGGGGCAGTGACTGCAAGGGAGGTGAGGGCTGATTCTGGGGCACTCAGGACCTTCTGTTTCTTGGTGCGGTTGCTGGTTGGACTTGTGTGTTAACCTGAATATTCCTTAAGCTGAATATGATTTGTGCATATTTTTGTATATGGTAGATTTCTATAAAAAATCTACCTAAAGGGGCACCTGGGTGGCTCAGTCGGTTAAGCGTCTGCCTTCGGCTCAGGTCATGATCCCGGGGTGCTGGGATCGAGCCCCGCATCAGGCTCCCTGCTCAGCGGGGAGCCTGCTTCTCCCTCTCCCTCTGCCTGCTGCTCTCCCTGCTTGTGTGCTCTCTCTCTGTCAAATAAATAAATAAAATCTTTAAAAAAACTACCTAAAAATTAAGCTCTTTAAAAAAATTCAGAATCTAAACAAAGTAATCCATCACCAATAAACATCATAATCTTTAGATTTATTTCCTTCTCTTTTTCTTACTCCATATATATTTAATATAGTTTGAATTACACCATATATAAATTCTGAACAATTTTATATGTCCTTTATAATTTTTTTAAAACGTTTTCTCCTTTATTTTTTCTTTATTTTCAATTGAAATATACTTGACATACAATAATTTAAAAAAAATAGTTTAGAAATACCTGCATAATATTCCACTGTGGATGTCCATAGGTTATCTGATTTCTGTTGTGGGACATTTATATGGCTTCCAATTTTTCACTATTTTGCTATAATGCTATAAATACAATGCAAATATTTATGCACATCTCTGAAAAGCTCCTTATAATGGATTTTTAGGAGAATCACTAGGTTAAAGGCTATGAACATTCCAGGGGCCTCTGACAGGTGTTGCTAAAAGGATTGAGTAACTTATATTTGTAGAGAACTGCAATGAAATAGTTTTTCTCCATTATCAGTAAACTGAATTACCGTGTAAAAATTGCTAATTTTGTAGAGGAAAGTTTAAAGTCTGTATCTCATTTTAATTTGCATTTCTCTTGTTACTAATGCAGTTGAATATTTTCTGAATGTTTTCTATCCATTAAGATTTCTTGTTCTGCCATCTGTTATTTTTTGTGTCCTGTGCTCATTGCCCAATGTTTCCTGTTTGATTTGTATGAGGTCTTTTTAACTTAAGAATAGTAACCCTCGAAAATGTATATTTTCAGCAAATATTTTTCTCAAGTGCTGATGTGATTTTGAAGTCTGATATTTTTAAGATTGGGAGGGGTTCTCTGTTTTTATTTTACCAAATTCATTAATATTTTTACGATTTCTTCAACTGCTGTTACACTCAGTCTTTCACTAGGAATAAAAAAACATTCAACTAGATTTTCTCCTAGTTTTCTATACTTCCATTCATTAGATATTCAACTCTTTAATCTATCTTGAAATTATTTAACTGTGTGATATGAGGTGAAACCCAATGGGCTTTTCCCCCCAATAGTTAAGCATATGTACCACCATGATTTACTATCTATGCTTCTCTTCCTAAAATACTACAGTATATTAACTCCAAATTCTTTGTTTTTATGAGCTTCCTGCTACATTAAATCTGGCTCTTTATTTCAAAACTAGTAGCATCATATTTTAATAATTGTACTTCTAAAATGTTTTAGTGTTTGATATGGTAAATTACCACCTGTCCTTAAACACATTTTCTCAAGATCTTTTTTTTTTTAAGTTATATGAGAGTGTTTTTTCTCCTCTAGGAACAACTTATATCTCTCCACTTAAGCCTTATTTTATGACCTTCATTAAAATATTTGCTCCACTTTCATACAGATTCTGCTATTTTTATTCATTTATTCCTTAGAATTTTTAATATTTAGTTGTAGCCATTATCAACTGAGTTTTCATCCATATATATATATATATATATTCTTTTTTTTAAATAGGCTCTATGCCCGATGTGGGGCTTGAACTCACGACCCCAAGTCCAAGAGTTGCATGCTCTATCCACTGAGCCAGCCAGGTGCCCCAACCCTATATATATTCTAATTGCTTGATGTTGGTATGTAAGAAAACAATTTGTTGTTGTTGTTTTTTAAGATTTTATGTATTTATTTGACAGAGAGAGGACAAGCAGGGGGAGCAGCAGAGGGAGAGGGAGAAGCAGGCTCCCCACTGAGCAAGGAACCCGATGTGGGGCTTGTTCCCAGGACCCCGGGTCATGACCTGAGCTAAAGGCAGACACTTAACCGACTGAGCCACCCAGGCACCCCAACAATTTGTTTTTATAATTTAAAAAAGTTATTATCTAAAGCGACTCAAGAAAAAATAGAAAATCTCAACAGACCTATAACAGGTAAAGAGATTCAATCAGTCATCATAAACCTCCCAGCAAAGAAAAGACCTGATCAGAGGGCTTCACTGGTGGATCTACCAAACATTTAAAGAATTAACACCAATCTTTCTCAACCTCCTCCAAAAAACTAAAAAGAGGGAACACTTCCTTATTCATTCTATGAGGCCAGAATTACCCTGATACCAAAGCCAAAGCCAGAAAAAGACATTAAAAGAAAAGCAAATCTAATCCAACAGCAAATTGAAAGGATTATTCACCATGACCAAGAGGGATCTATCCCAGGAATGCAAGGGTGGTTCAACAAAAGAAAACCAATCAGCATAACACCTCACAGTAATAGAACAAAGGGAAAAAGCATGATGTTATGTATATTCTACCACAATAAAAAATTACCTCGCCACCTTTTCTGAAATCCCTTATCCTAAATTTTTGCATCACTTAGAAAGATAAAAGGGATCAGACTATAAGTAGTGCATTGCATTCTCCTTTTTTTTTTTTTTTTTTTACTAAATATGTATTGGTCTTTCCAAACTAATACTTTTAGATATATTGCAACCCCTATAACAGCTTCTTAATTTCCTATCATGCAAATAGGCTATGATTCTTTGAACTAGTCCCTAATTCATGGATATTCAAGTTACTTCTCAAGTTTTGCTCATGCAAAGCACACTGCTAAACAGTCTTACCCTTCTGCGAGTAGTTCTATGGGATAAAGTCCTAGAAGTAGAAATAATAGGTCAAATGGTATCCACATTTGAAAAGTCTCTTCTAGTTCTCTCCCACTAAAGAGGGCTATCTGAATAAGCCAGACGTTGTGTAACACACTAGAAAGTATTCTGCTGGTTCTGCACGTAGTTTTCAAAACCAGAACAGAGGACAAGTACTGTCAAAAATTTTTGGCATCAGTTAGATCTGGGGTTGGCAAATGACAGCCTACAGACCAAATCCACCTTGCTGCCTATTTTTACTTAGCCCACAAGCTAAGAATGGTTCTGTTTTTTTGTTTTTTTACATTTTTAAATGATTAAAAAACGGGCGCCTGGCTGGCTCAGTCGGTAGAGCATGCAGCTCTCGATCTTGGAGCTGTGAGTTCAAGCACCACATTGGGTGTAGAGCTTACTTAAAAAAAATTAAAATGTAATTGGATTTGAAGTGTATAAAATTTGTGTAACTCCTAAAAATGGAGAGTAAATATAAAATATCAAAAAACTATTTCAGGGGCGCCTGGGTGGCTGTCGTTAAGCGTCTGCCTTCGACTCAGGTCATGATCCCAGAGTCCTGGGATTGAGCCCCACATCAGGCTCCCTGCTCGACAGGAAGCCTGCTTCTCTCTCTCCCACTCCCCCTGCTGTGTTCCTTCTCTCGCTGTGTCTCTCACTGTCAAATAAATAAAAAGAATCTTTAAAAAAAAAAACTATTTTAGTTATTTTAATATCAAAAATTATTTTTAAAAATGATTAAAAAACAAAACCAAAAGAAGAATATTTCATGAAATGGAAAAATGATAGGAAATTCAAATTACAGTATTCATAAATAAAGTTTTACTGAAATACAGCCACACTCATGTTTATATATCAGCTGCTTTCTTACTTCAACAGCAGAGTTGAGTAGTTGCAACAGAGCCTTTATGGCTGTAAAGCCTAAGATATTCACTGTCTGGCCCTTTACAGAAACAGTTTGCTGATCTCCAGTCTAAGCAATAACATTTGTTTTTAAGGATTTTATTTATGTATTTGAGAGAGAGAGAGCACAGTAGGGGGAGCAGCAAAGGGAGAGGGAGAAGCAGACTCCCCACCCACTTAGCAGAGAGCACGATGTGGGGCTCAATCCCAGGACCCCAGGATCATGACCTGAGCCAAAGGCAGCCGCTTAACCGACTGAGCCACCCAGGCACCCCTAAGCAGTAACATTTTTAAGGAGTAGGAAACCCAATTCTCTAAACAAAGGGCAAAGAACAAATTGTCATATAGCTAACAAAGAAATGTTCCAAGGGGTTAGTGTCTCTTGGCTCTTTGTGTGAGTGAGGAGGTGAATGGCTTCACATTTCCTTCATTACTGTGAGAAGCAGCCATTGGAAGGCCAAGTAGCTACCGCACTTCTGGTTACAAGACTCCACTTTCCGTGGACTATTTTTTGGGTACTAATGTAAATGCTGCTGTGTTTTTAATTTCAAGTTCCAGTTGTTTACTGCTGGTATACAGGAAAGGGATTGACTTTTGCATATTAACCTTGTATCCTACAATCATGCTATAATTGCTTATTAGTTCCAGTTTTTGTTGATTCCTTAGATCTACATAGACAGTCGTGTCAATCTGTTCCATGAACTCTTGATCCAAGTTGTTTTTCCCATAAATTCAGTTTTTCCTTTGCCACCAAATAGTTACAATTAGAGATGCCAGCTATAGGGCGCCTGGGTGGCTCAGTTGGTTGGGTGACTGCCTTCGGCTCAGGTCATGATCCTGGAGTTCTGGGATCGAGTCCCGCATCGGGCTCCCTGCTCAGCAGGGAGTCTGCTTCTCCCTCTGACCCTCCCCCCTCTCTTGTGCTCTCTCTCTCTCATTCTCTCAAATAAATAAATAAAATCTTTAAAAAAAAAAAGATGCCAGCTATAAATAATTTTTCAGAGATAGAGTATATTCTCCCAATGCTTTCTGAGGCTACCTTCGCACTCGATAGAGCAAAAATGGAACAGGAGACGTGACAAAGCTTAAATGAAGAGAAAAAGCAAGCACACATAAACACTGACGTTACCATGAAACTTGCCCTGATTAGAACTGACTAATGTAAAAGTTATAGGATTATTTAAGCAGTTTACCAGATATCAGGACCAGGGAGCAAAATTTTGCAGAGGAGGAAACAGAACAAAATTACCATATGTCATTTGGGATAGTTGCTGATAGTTATCATTGCTGGCTCGACAATTTGGTTCTACAGTCAACATGCCATCAGTGGAAAGTGTGTTCTCAGTAAGTTCTGTTTCAGAATCTTCCATTATCACAACATCAATATCATTGCCATCACTGTCATCCTCAACAGTTACAATAATATAATCTAGGAATAAGCAAAGAGAAAGTTTAGATACCACATAAATCAGTGTCTAGAGGAAACCACCTTATAAAGTTATGGAGTGTTTAAAAACACATTTTTACTGAAAAAATTGCACGAAATATTTTCATGTCTCTAATCCCTGCAAGTCAGCTAAGAAATAAATTGCTTAGTATGAAGCTTTAAGATATATATGAATGTTTATATGCATGTATATACACACATACACTAGTGTCTCTAGTACTTCCAGTTTTATAGAGCAATAAATTTCTTCTTTAAAAAACGTGACCACCTGGCCGTGCTGCTCTGTGTTCAGTGATATGTGTTTAACTTTTAAATGCTACAGCTGATGTTACATAGCCACACTCTACTGACCAAGAGTTCCCAAACTTGGTCTCTAAAACTCAGTATTAATCTTTGATAATAAATAATGTAGAAATAAAGTACAGTCATAACTGTTGTTATGAAACAAATTCAAATTGAATCTCACAGAATGTAAAATAAATGGCCACATATAAACTAGATGTGAAATATCAACTCCATAAACCATTTTAATGAATATGACAAATAGCACACCATGCATAATGTATGCTATATAAACGGGCTTTTTTGCTTTTTACAATTGGCCTGAAAAAGAAGAACATGTTTAAGCTCGAAGTATTAACTCGCCGATCACATGTACACTGCATCACAACTTGGACTCTACATTTATTTGAAATAGACCAAAGCATTACAATCAAGTAATTAGCCAGTGTGTGGGAATGTGCTGGTGTGAAAATGATACTGAATTAGGAATCACATGATGTGGGTTCCAATTCAGGCTCTTTAGCCATCCAGAGGCATGACCTTTCAGCCACATACATTTATTCTTTTGCCTCTGTTTTCTCATCCTTAAAAACATGGCACTGGGTTTGGAGATGTACTGTGAAGTCCACTTAATAGTCTTCATGGAAAAAATGGAACATTAGAAACTATCTAATTATTCAAACAAAAGGGAATTGGTTAAATAAATTATGGCATTTCCATATGATGAAATGGCATACTGCCAATGAGAAACACATTCTCATTTAGTGATATTAGAAATGCTAGTGAAATAATGTCAAAGCAGGGAGAAAGGCTCAAAGCAGAAAAAATACGATGTAATCCTAACTTTGAGAACAGAAGGAAACATACTAATTGTTATCTCTAAGTCACTATCTCTGGGTGGCAAAATGACCTTCATTAGACTTCTCTGTATTTGTTAAGAGTCTCTACAATAAACTTTATAGAATTCATAATCAGAAGAAAATAACAAAGGTAATTAAAGTCTTATTTTTAAGATAAGCTTTTATATGTCAACAGATTTTTTGCACTGGACCCAGTAAAGCTACTGACAATTCCACCCAGGTTTCTCAGTAAATTTGTAAAATTCCAATTAATTCCTTTAGATATATACATAACCTTCATAAGCCATTTTTAGAAGACATTAAAACATTTAGAAGCTTTTGGAAGGTTACGCTTCTAAGGTGCAAGGAACCAAGTTGCCATGAACTTAATCAGACAAGGCACAGTTCAGAAAGATGCAGGCTGCAACTTTCCTTTCAGATGAGGACCACTGCAAGAAATCCACCCCAAAACACGGCAGATGACAACGGCCAGACTGGTCTGCTTTTCTAGCAAAACTGTGTCAATACATTGAACAACCACTTTCTAAATCTCCTAGCAGAACTCTCAAAAGCAGCCCTTCCACATCCATATCGGAACTTTAGAGACTACGAAGTTGACCAAATGAGAGATAATGCCACCAAAACTGTATCCCAGAGCCCAGCACTTGCTGCAGGCAGGCTTAAAACTGAATTGAGCCCATGCCCTGCTTTAGAAAACACTGTGCAGAAGAGTTGTTTGTAAAATCATTATCAGCAAACATTAAATCAGTTTACCACTTAATGTCTTAAAACCACAAAGCAGTCCCAATTTGGGGAGAGCTAGGTAGAGGCGGAAAGGGGGCAGTTGCCAACACATTAAGTTAGAGCCTTTTCTGTCAAACAACGGTGCTCAGTCGTACAGCAGGTGGGATGGGCCCTGAAGTATGCTTGGAAGTGCACCCCTATGTTCTAGGGGTCCTAACATTTTGTAGTATCCTCTGACTCCTTTTTAAGTCTCATCTGCCCTCTTGAAGCAAAGAACTGGCTCTTTACCCAGGGACTTCGCCACACCTACATCTTTATTTTCTTTCTCCTTCTGTATGTTTTCACAATAAAACAGCAAGGCTGCACAGTCTTTGAGCAAACGCAGTCACCACCAAAGCCTCAAAAATCAACTTCTCAATTTCAAGAGATGTCATAATGAATCAACTACTAATCTGTCAATCTTTTAAACTCAAAATTCTAATAGTCTAAGAGTCTTCGTCCTTTTTTTTTTTTAAGATTTTATTTACTTACTCATGAGAGACAGAGAGAGAGAGAGGCAGAGGGAGAAGCAGGCTGCCCGCTGAGCAGGGAGCCCGATGCGGGACTCGATCCCAGGACCCTGGGATCATGACCTGAGCCGAAGGCAGACGCTTAACCATCTGAGCCACCCAAGCGCCCCTGTCTTCGTCCTTTTGGACCCCTACTTCCTCCGACAGGGAATGAGAAAGGATAAAGGATCAACTCGTCCCAGGATAAAGGATCAACTCGTCCCAGGAAGTCAGCACCAAGTACTTAACAAGTAGCCAAATCTCAAAAGCTTGCACGCACAAGCATCTTAGGAGAGGTGGTGAGAAACAGCCCAAACCACCCCACCGCAGCGCTGCTGAATACAAGGCTGTAAAGTGCAGATTTAACCTTCCGCAAATCAAATCTTCTCCTCCCAGGAGTTCCCCCCCCCACTAAGCCAAGTCACTTTCGTGCCCTAATGGTCCATGCTCCACAGCTGTTTGTGCTGTGCACACATCCCACAAGGCCTTTTGGAAAAAAAAGCTCAAGGAAAAAGCGCCGCTGTACAGACCTATTCTGGCGCCAGTGCCCACCACACTACCTTGCAGAAGGCTCAGGAAAACAGATCACAGCGCCCCCGCCTCCCCTGTGGAGACCGCTGAGGCTGTTTTATGACCACGAGGGGTCCTAGAAAGAACCAACGCCCTCATGCCGGAAACCAAGCCCCGCCTCTCACAATGCGGCTCTCTCGAGACTCTCAGACACCAGGAGCCCCGGAAACGCCATGAGCCCCAGGGACCCCTCAAACCCCAGGATCACCTCAGGCTCCGAGGATACCACTGAAGAATCCAGTGAGCCCTAGGGCCAACTCAAGCCCCGAAGTACACCATTAACCCCAGGGACCCCTCAAATTCTAGAATCACCTTGACCCCTAGGATGCCATGAACTCCAGGGACCCCACGAGCCCCAGGATCAGCTCGAGCCCTTGAAACACCATGAACCCAAGGATGTCCCGGACCCAGGGCCAGACCAAGCCTGCAACACCTCGGTTCCTATATGCCACCAAATGGGGACAGCAGTCCAGAGGTCATCACCGAACACGCCATAGCCGATGACGAGACAATGCCTTAGTCGCCTGCAAGGCCCTCTAGGTAGGCACAGGGCGAACTCTCTGTTTCCCTTCCCCCACCACCCGGTAGGGTGAAAAAAGAAGCAGAAGCGAGTGGAACAGATTTGGAAGGGCTTCTTACCCTCCTCTTCAGACATCGTGAGGCAGGGAGTCCCACTCTGAGTGCCTTAGGCTCGGCGTCTGCGCTGCCCCTGGATCGGCTGGATCGTGACCGTGCCCACGAGGCAACTGCAGCAGAGAGAGGCGCCAAGCGGAAGGCGCCCAGCGGAAGGCGCCCAAACTTCCCCCCCAAGAGAAGTTTCTGCGACTGCGCAGTAGCGCCCAGAGCCCGCCGTGGGAGCACAACTGTTGGGGGGAAGGGCAGAAGTGGCGCCAAGTGTGGTGCCTTGCCTGGCTCCGTTTCTATCTATATGTACACATTTTTAAGCGTGTTTCCCCCTTCCCCCAAAATGTGAACCAGTAGCCACCAGTGTAATTCTGCTCTTCTCAAAATGCTCCTCACACAATACATCATAGAAAAAATGTACAATGTCAGAATTCAGACTTTGTAATGTTTTCCGGGTTGTGTACTCACCGAGTCCAGCACCAGCTTTGGGAACAAATCCGAACACAATCCAACTTTTAAAATGTGTCCGTAATAAAACCCGCTAAATCCACGCCACCCTGCGCTTCAGCTGTCCTACTCTCTACTTGCCGTTTTCCAAAAAGCCATGTCCTTCATCCCAACTTAAAATAGTAATAGCTAACAATTTACTAACTGCTCACCACAAACCAGCCGCTTAGTATGGCTCACCTTATGTGGTCCTCAATGACTATAACAAGTCAGTATTATTGTCCCATTTTATTTACTTTTTTAAAAGATTTTATTTATTTGACAGAGAGAGACAGCGAGAGCAGGAACACAAGCAGGGGGAGTGGGAGAGGGAGAAGCAGGCTTTCCGCCAAGCTTGGAGCCTGACTCGGGGCTCGATCTCAGGACCCAGAGATCATGACCTGAGCCGAAGGCAGACACTTAACTGAGCTAACCCAGGCGGCCTTACCCATTTTAAAGATACAGAAACAGATGCTTAGAGAGTTTAACTTGCTCAAAACCACAAGGCTAGCAGCAGGATTATGATTTGAACACACATACCCCACCCCACAAAGCACATGCTCACATCCCCTATATTATCCTTCCTCCTACTCAGTTGCTTATGGAAATTTTCCACACCCTTCAAATCTTGTTCAGACATCTATTCTTTTTTTTTTTTTAAGATTTTTTAAAATTTATTTATTTGAGAGAGAGCACGGGTGGGGTGAGGGGCAGAGGGAGAAGTAGGCTCCCGGCTGAGCAGGGAGCCCAATTCCCACCCATTGGGGGGAGGGGGGCTCCAGGATTATGACCTGAGCCACCGAGATGCCCCTGCTACACGCACATCTATTTGAATAATACCTGCACCAAGACACTTTGCTACAGCCCCCTGGTAAGAATGAGGACCAACACCATGCATTATTTATATTAAATAGCAGTTCCATCACAAGGTTCGAAGAATTAAAAGTTAGGAAATATAAAGCACCCAGCACAGTGCCTGCTATTCTAGTTCATTTCGCTGTGTCAGTTACACAGTGACTCCTGGCGCCATGCATCTCTTCATCATAGGGGAAGGGAAATCTCTTCGCTTGTGAAAAGGAAAAGTGCATTTTGTTAGGTGGAAATATACAGTTGTTTCCCTGTTGTAAGGGAGTGTAAATGTGTGCAGGAGGGTGCATAAGGAAGCTCAAGAGAAGAATGTTTGCACTATACAGTTTGATACATTACCTCTCAGCCAAATTCAGCCCTTTTTCCTGCTCTGAGAAAATGGATATGGGCCCTTTAAATGTTTTCCTTTTGCCAGTAGCACAGTTGAACACTTTTCAGTAGGAAACATGGGAAAGAGAGTGTAGAAGAAACAAGTTGTGCTTCCTAGTCCCCGTTTGCTCTCTAGGCAGGCTGCTGCAGAGTGCAGCCTCCCAACCCAAACACACACCCAACTGGGCATGTTTCCGGCACGTTCTAGAGGGCAGCTCTACAACAAGTCCCACCAATGCTGCACCTACTTACCTCACTCAGTGAGTCAGAGTGGAGGCTCCTTCGGTGTAAAGTCTAGTCCTAGAGGTAGTAGCTCTTGTTTGTAGGTCTTATTACTATACTCTTTTGAGTTTCCTTTTTTTCTTACTAGCCAGTCCCGCATTACTCCAATCCTGATACACTTAATACTTCCTTGTATTAAACATTCTCTGTTCAAATTACTGTGTGGTCTTTCTCTTCATCTTGGACCCAGACTGATATACTCACCCTTTTGAGTTTCATCAGCTAGTGCTCAATGGGAACACAAGGTCTGTTCCTACACTGTAATCAAGCATCCAACAAGATGTTCAACAACCACTTCAGTTTCATTTCTAGTCAATCCTCTCCATTCATTCCTCTGACCCCTTTTCTCTATAGAAAGATGCAGAATGGAAGGATAGACTTTCCTACTGTCACTCCTAAGGCTAGCTCTTCTTCTGGGCTACCTAGGCTGCATCAACCTGAGTAAGGCAAAGTAGAGTGCCCAACGGGCAAGGGAGACCTGCCGGTGGTGAAGGAGAAGCAATGGTGGTAGTGCCATCTACATGTGCTCCGTGGAGAGATGATTCCCACAAGCTATTGACACAGCAGTGTTTCTATCAAAACCCTGTGCAGCCATGGGAACCTGGAGTTCTAATTCTTTTTTTTTTCTTTAACATTTTATTTATTTGAGAGAGCAGAGCGACAGACAGAGCCCGAGTTGGGGGGAGGGACAGACGGAGAGGGACAAGCAGAGGACCTACTCAGTAAGAACCCTGACGCAGAGCTCAAGCCCAGGATTCCAAGATCATGATCTAAGCCAAAGGCAGACACTTCAGCGACTGAGCCACCCAGGTGCCCCTGGAGTTCCAATTCTTGCAGTGATGAACTACATAATACAGAGCCACCAGGCCCCTGAGAAAGAACTAAAAAAGCTGGATGAACTGTTATTAAAATACTCTCAAGAACAACAAAAAGCAATTACTGAATTAAGAGCTCTGAAAGACCAGAAACCTAGAAAAATGTAAAAAGCTGGCAGGACTGCTTTTATTCTACGACATTAATCCAGAAAAGTCAGAAAGAGGCCAGGCTGTACTTCTGGTGATTTTGTAGGACTAGAGGCAAAAGTCAGAATCTGGGACCCACCAATGGCAGAGGGCTGGTAAACCACCCTCTGCTTGAACAGGGACCATAGTCACCCCGTCAGAGTAAAAGTGATCAAGGGGCAACTGGGTGGCTCAGCTGGTTGAGTGACTGCCTTTAGCTCAGGTCATGATCCTGGAGTCCTGGGATGAAACCCCACATTGAGCTCCCTGCTGAGCAAGGAGCCTACTTCTCCCTCATCCTTTGCCTGCCGCTCCTGCTTGTGTTCTCTCTCTCTGTCGAATAAATAAATAAAATCGTTAATTTAAAAAAAAAAACAAACAACAGTTAACGCAGATTATGGTTCACTCATATTATAGAAGGATTTAACACACCGAGGTGCCTGGCATAAGCAAACAAAAATTCTTGGCCATGAATATAAAATCAAGTTATTTTTACAAACGGTATCTAAATAGAATATCCAGCACAAAGTAGAATATAACCAAGTTTAGGAGAAGGAAAGATGGAAGAGATAAGCAATAAAAACATCTGTGCTGAGTGACAGCGCCTCCTGCTGGCAGCCACCGCAACAACCACACGGCGCTCGCCCGCACGGTGGTCCTGACAGCCGCACCTTGCTAATGACGTTGGTCCTCTGGAAGCAGCCTAGTCCGTGAGCATCTTAGGACATCCGGGGGAAGGATCCAGATTGAAAATAGCCAGGACCCCAAGTTTTCAGGAAGGCGCCTCCTCACCCTTTAGGAATGGATGGAAAACCTTGTTTCGGCAAAGCCAGGGAGAGAGGCTGAACTACGAGCTGGAGGACGGGCGCCACAGACTCAGAGCGCATGGAGCCCAAGCGACAACCCCCCCAACCTTGGTGGGGAGGAGAGAAATCCAGCAGGTGCAGGGCGGTGGGGCTCTTGGAAGGCAACAGGGAAGGACGGAAGGTGAGGTCTCCAAGAGAGCGCGGGCCCCAGACTCGAGCCCCTGCCCTCGAGGGAGTTACACGTTACAGCTGCCACGGGTCACTCTTCTACATGCCCGTTCTTCGCCCTGGCCGCACGTGGATCCACCAGGGGAGCTGTGAACACTGCTGGGGCCCAGGCCTGGGCCCCAGACGTTCCCACGGCCCTGGTCAGGGGAGGCAGGGTGCTGAGCTTGACGGCGTCCAGGGGATTCCCACGGGCACCAGGCTGAGGGCCACTGCTCTGTACGCTTCGTGGGGCCGGTCCCAGGACCATGGCATTGAATTCTCGCGTCCCCCGGGCAGGTTCACGTTACCAGCCTGGTTTATGGGCAGCGGGAGAGGGCAGGCCATGGCCACGGCGCAGCAAGAAGAGGGTGTGAAGTGACCGTAAATGCGACCGACGGGACCATGACCCACTCTGCCCACGAGACAGAAGGGGTGCGACACTCAGAGAGCAGCACTGAGCTGTGTGGTGCGCAGGACACGACCGGTCTTGTTCAGCTCCGTTAAAACGGGGGCGGGGGATGGATCACAAGGCACGACTGATGACTGGATGCCACTTCAAGATGGGGGCACACGGATGTGTCTGTGTGTGTGAGAGATGGGAGTGTGTGCCTGTGTGTGTGGGGGGAGGGAGGGAGGTAAAGAATGTGTGGGAGAGAGATGGAGGAGACACAGAGATAGAGGGAGGAGGTGGGGCTTCAGTGGGGGCAGAGAATAGGAAAGAGACTCGCAAGGAGTCCGTAAATAGAAGCGGACACCTCCCCTTTGCTGTGTGAGTCTGACCACAGCCAGTCTGCC